ATACAAGTCAGATAGATATTGATGGGGAATAATATTTTTCCTGCAGCATTTTTCACTGCTCTTTTACTTTTCTTCGAAAAAAACAAATACTTATAAAACTTTTTTTTTCTCAAATAAAAGTAAAAGATGATTTGAAAGGGCACTTAAAATAGTTCTATTTTTAAATGTTAAGGTTAGACAATTCCTTGCTTTTTATCATCTATCATAGATCAATAATGGTGTGTGATATTTGATAAAAACAACAGCAGCAGGTAGAAATATCAAGTTCACTAAAGCACATCTTTGAGGATGTGGCAATCAATAAAGGGCAGACCTTCCTTCTCCTTTGTTCCACAAGATGTTACCACGTGAATGAACTGCTTCCCAGTGTGTGCCAAAGTCATTATATTTGACACTTAACTCAATGTACTGCTGTGATGTTGTGCCATTTAAAGTCAATCTGCAGATCATAATAACAGCTGAGTATTTTTTCCTTTTGTAGCATAGATTTACTGATATCTGTTGAAAAGAACACAAGTAAAGGGCCAGTCTTTCTGCCATGAAAGCTATAGTTACACAAAAAGAATGCTGATAATTTCCAACATACAAGTAAAAACTCAGGAATATTTTCTGTAATGTAACTTTATGGCCATATAATAGGAAAATCTAGAAAATTTTCTAGTTATGGTTGTGTCACAATTATTTGGAATAACATAAATCTGTATGATACAGAGAGTCTCTTTTAGGTACACAGTCCAAAGGAAAGTGTATAAACTTAATTTTATTTTTACTTACAGTTTCCCCATTAGAATAAATTTTGTTCTGAAATTAAATTACATGAAGAAAATTAGTGTAAAGGTTCAGTGTTCTTAGGGAATGCATTCTTCATATATTAAAGACTTTTTAATAGAAAGCTAATAAATAGCTACTGTAGCCTTGGAGGCAACTACATTTTAAGTTACTGACAAGATTAGTATTTATTGGTTTGAAACTGTTAACTAGATTTTTTTTTCTTCTTGATTTTAAAAATGAAGAAATTAAGACATAATCTTGAAACAGTAAGTGACAATTTTAAAAAAATTCTGGAGAAGATACAATTTTTTTTGTACTTCTGGTTTCCTAGTGCTTTTAACTTATGCTGTAGAAGAGTACTATGGCTTCAGCATTATGTCCTGTAAACTGTAGAATACTAGTCCTACATAGTATATATTGCATACCAGTTATATGTCACTTATGTCAGCCCTCAAAGAACAATTCAAATAAATCATCCCAACTTCTGACCTCTCCTGTTATCTCCATATAAAAAGCACCATCCTTTCCTGATTTTTTTAAAGTTTAAATCTGTTTCACATTTAATGTTTTAACACCCACATCTGTTGCTGATGTGAGAGAGTTCATGCACTCTTTCTCTTTGTGTCTGTGCAACCGGGTTGTTAACAGTAACAAGGCAGAAAAGAAGATCCTGCTTCCAGATCAGAAGGAACTACTGACAATGTTTCATCCCATGAAACTCTACAGTCATGGCAAGTCCTACAGTAGCTACCAAAGTATGTTAAAAATTGATAAAGGCATCAAGTTAAAAAAAAAAAAAAAGTACTTCAGATATTTATTTTTCTGAATTTCTGACAAATTCAGCAGGATTTTAGGGCTTCAATAATGAAAAGATTTTCCAGACTGTATTTCGATGCACACACTGACACAATCCTTTTCAGGTATTAGGAAAGATTTTGATATAATATGCCATTTTCAGTTTAAATTTAAAAATGTATTTCAGTGAAATAACATTCATTTCTGTGTGCCCTATTTTGCCAAATTCAGATAGTATTGCCTTCCATTTGTTTGAGCAGCAAAATAATTCATAATTGACTTGCACAGACTATACAAGTGAGCTTCAAAAACATAAGTAAGCTTAAAAAGGTTCAATACATTAAGAACTAATAAGAAGCTACTTACAAATCAATTGTCTCAGAGCCTAAGGAGATCAGAATCTAAAAGGTTTTATTTTTTATTTATTTCCACCAGAAGCTTATAAAGAAATACAATTTTCATCAAATTTTATGGTACTATGCATCATTTTTTTTCTGCTTAAAATGGCTTTAACTGGAAAACCAATGAAGCAGACCATAGAGGTATGGACATCACAAATGGAATAGTTTCCAGCATTAAAACACAAAAGACGAGACTATATATTTTCAAGTATTTAAGAAGCTCACATTTGAGATATTTAGCATACAGTACCCCTTTTATGTAAAGTGCCCAAAGCAGTGTGGGAGATATACACATAGAATAGTTTCTAACTTTCTCACTTCAAAGACAGTCTAACCCTGCTGCATTTTATTTATTTACTTATTTAATTCAGTGCAGAAGAAAAACATAAGGAATAACCAGGAAAAGGCTCCTCAGAACTACCATAATAAAATAGTTCCTCCTTTGTTGAATGTTAAAGCCAACATCTTGTTTCTCATTGAGACATCTATTTCTAATATCCTTAGAATTTATTTAAAAAAAAATAATTCCGTAACTTTCTGCCTAGTTCAAAGCAAAACACTCAGATGAGGAATGCAGCATATGTCAGTTGTGTGGAACAGCAGTGTAGTAAGAATAGCACCAGAGAGTTGAAAGGTTTGGTCCTTACATATGTTTTCAAGTTTCAGTTCTCAGCATATGGGATATTTTTTAAAGATGGTTATTCAGATTAAAAAAAAATAAAAATCAGTAGTATATTTGTTATTTGCTTCAGTGCGACCACTGCTTTTCTGTTTTCAGTGGTGTCCATTCCACCTTTCTGAGACATAGATAACATCTCTTTTCATTTAAATGTGTTCTAAGTCAGTCATGCAAAATTGAACATTTATTAACTGAGAAGCATTAAATACATGCTCAGCAGTGCAAAAGAAAGATACCTGGAATATATATACATAATCATTTGCAGCTCTTCGTAATTTTAGATCTATATTTGCAGGGTTATTTGCGTAGATCTTGTCTCTGCTAGTTTTCTGCATGGCTAATACACTATTGAAACCAGATTCTTTTAGAGTAACAGGGTTATTAAAGCAGCTTTGTCCATTTGATCTATTCTGGAACATTTCAGTGCCACTGTGACTTAGTAAGAGAAAGCAATGACGATTAAGCTTCAGTGGTTTGCAGGTGATTTCACAACATAAAACTAACTCCTAATGTCATGGACGAGAAGTAGATCATCTGAATATATAATACCATGAATTAAATAATATAACATTAATAATGAATGCATCCAATAAAGCCTGTTTAATCCAGAGTTATGCTGCAAATAGGACACAACCGACAAACTCATAAAATTAGTTAACACTTTTAAAGCCTGTAGTTTTAATTAATTTGAGATTCAATTTAAAAAATATATATCTGCATATTGTCATAATGATGCGATTATGGGTACTCTGTCAGGCCTCCTCCTGCTGCTACAGAAAGGTACACAATCTCCTATAGGTCTTGTAACATTGTTGTTTGGGCTAAATTAAGCTCCTTTGTTGACTTGACTTTTATATTCAGTGACTCTTACAGTCAGTGGAAAGAGTCTGACAACACCAGCAATCAATTCAGCCTACTTATCTCAAGCCCGTATCTTAGGTGTGATAAGCACAACCTAATATAAAGGATTTTTGAGTGTTTTTCCAACTGTATAATCAAAACTGACCGATTTGCTCCTGGAAGAAATGGGGTGGGCAAATTTTATTGGATTGTTGAATTATGAAACAGCATAGTCTACCATGAAACCCAATAGCCTTAATAAGTCCTCTTTTTCCCCATAAACTTTTTATCCTAACTTGTATTAACTACCTTCTTCATGTCCTCAACATTTACTCTCTCATTCCATCCCGCATCTGCAGCTGTTTCTCATACTTTTTTCCTTGCTGTTCAGTAGCAATAAAGTATGAGAAAAATAATATTCCAGAAATTTGCCTTACTCCATTGCTCCCACCATTCCCAAGGGATTCTTTACTGACTGCCCTTTATTTATTTTCAGTTGTCTACAGTGGGATTCATCTTCCCCGCTTAAATATCAGAAACATAGAAGTCAAAATCTGATATCAGAGTCCTCAGGTTTCCTATATAGTTAGTAGAGAAAAACGGGCACTTAGAGAGAACAATTCATGCTGTCCTAACACAAATGTCTAAAATAAGTAAGATAAATGATATCCTGAAAGTACGTATTTCTTCCATTGACCATAAGGCAAACTTAACATGATTGGCTCACTTGTAGATGTCTATACAAAAATCTCTGAAGTTAGGTGTGATGAACTCCTCCCCCACCTCTAAATTATTACAGTTCACACCATACTTTTTTTAGCCACATAGCTAAAAGCCAATACTTTAAAAGTGATAAGCAACAAGTAATACATAATATCACACTACCGTAAAATGAGTTTTAGTAAGTGCCATATTAAAATTTTAATTTTAATTGAAAGTTTGAAATGAAAATGAAAGTTATAGAAGAGAAACTTAGAATATGAAAAAAATTAGAATTACAGGTTTAATGTAGTCTGACTGTTTTGACAAGAATCAAATTTCTGTTTACTTGCTGTGTGGATGTAATTGCCTTGAGACAAAGACAGTTTCATGGGTCAATGTTTGGCTGAAGCAAGGTACAAAATGTATATACAACAAATCTTATCACTGGGTACATGACTATATTAGAAGGATAAACTCGGTTAACTAGAACTGATACATACAACATATAAAAGTCAGATGATGCAACTGACTGTTGTTTACACCTTACACCGTACACACTGAAATTTCAGGTCTATATTCTTAAGCATTTGATATAAATATTAAACAAAAATAATATAGAAAATATATATGAATTACTTATTTCAAATAAATGTAGGAGCCATGAGATATAGGAGGGTGTGCACAACTCTGTCTACATTTATTTTAAAAGACATCCTCTATTACAACATGCTAAAAGTTATTTACTACTGTGTGTCACAGTTTTTGATTCCTCTAAGAAATGTGTTTCAACCATGTAAGAATACCCTACTCACTTGCCATTTAATGCTGCTACTCCAACAGTGCTTCTGGCAATTGACATACTTGCCACAAATGTCCACTGCTGACTTTGAGGGTCCCACCTCTCAACTGTATTCAAATAACTCCAACCATCATGTCCTCCCACTGCATAAATAGGCCCTTCAAGCACTGTAACTCCTAAAATGGAGGAGAGAGTGAAAGAAGATAAAAGTATGCTTTCTCTATCAATAGTAAAAAAAAAAAAAAAAGTTTTCCAAAACACAGCTAACAAATGAACTTGCACATTCAAAGTGAAAATGGAAACACCAATTTGAGATTTGATTAATTAAGGATTAGGAAACAGGAATAAAATTAATGCCATTCCACATGGCTTTATGAAAAATAGGTCTTGTCAAACAAACCTAATTTAATTCCTTGAGAAGATTGTTTGCTTCATAGAATAACCTGTCAATGATGTGATAGTCTTAGATTTCTGTATACTGTTTAACTTAGTATCTCATAACATTCTGATCATGAATTAGCTCTTTAGAATATCAGTAAAGCACATGATAAATAAATTATGGACTGGATACCTGATGGATCTCTAATTATTGTCAACCTAAGGAGGATTTCACTGAATGGAATTGCTTCTACCAGGGTTCCACAGGGAAGGGAAAGAAGTCTGATGTTTTCAGCATTTTTGTCAATTATGTAGAAGAAAACATTCAATTTTTCACTAGCTGGAAGCTTGGTGGACAGGCACAGAATCAAAAAACATATTCAAAGGCTCAAATAAGTAACTTACAGTGAGAAACTTAAGCCGGTTCATCAATTTACCTTATAAAAAAAAGAAATAACAAGAGAATGGGTACCTTCACAGGAAAATAATGTTGGGTATATAAGGATTCTTTTATCTAGTGAAGAAAAGTAAAACAAAATTTGAAGCATGGAAGTTGAAGTAGGAAAAATTTAAATAAGAAACAATTTTTTAACTATGAGGGGTTTTAATCACCCATTCTAAGGAACTGATGAATTCTCTATCTCACAGTATCTTCAGTTAAGCTTAGAAGGCTCTGGAAGATAAGTTATAGCTAAGTACCATTTGTTACAATACAGTGAGCTTAGTAATTCCATTCTGTGAATCCATGATCCCAAATGAGCACCATTCTGAAAAATCTCAAGCTAAATCCAATCCTATTCCTAAATCAGTGTCTTTTTTTTTCCACTCCATTTCACATGATTTGAACTCATCAAAAAATCAGAAAACAGTAGATCATTACAGTTTCAGAGAAATACAATAAAGAAAATAGTCTTCACTGACTTCTCTCTAATGAGAGCTTTGCTGGGTCTGTACAATGCATGTAGAGCCCTGTGAGATGCACAATTCCTTCAGATTTTTTTCCCAATGTCTTTTACTTTGCATTTGCCACTTGCTGTTGTGTTGTGAATTCAACTAGCTTTTAAAGTTCATCAGAGTGTTCTCTGAACTTTTCTGGCCTTATTGAATAACTTCTATATACTTTGCTGTCATGATGTTCAATTCCATTTCCACATAAATTAATCTGACATTGACACAGGGAAATGTTGCAGTTAGAAAACTGCCAAAATAAAAATGTTTCTTTAGTGTGAGATTCATGACATGCTCATCTGCCAAAAGGTGTGAATATAGTTACAGCTACACCAATGAAGAAATCTGGAAGCTTCTTTTGCGTAGAGAACTTTAAGGGATTCAATACAAGATTGCCTGTTTTGAGTTTGCCAGTTTGCATTGCTTCTATAATAGGAAAATTTACTGGCAAAGCAATAGGAAAGTTATTTTTCCATACAGGACAAAGACAGAAGGGCTTCTGTACAAAAGTAATCCTCCATGCTGCTGACTATAGCACACACTAACTTGCTATGGGTTTACACATTTAAAGTCTCTTCTTTACAGAATACCAATTGCATTGACACCCTTACATTTGCTTCTTAAGAGCTAGTCCAGTTCTAGCCTGCTATGTTTTAAAATACTGGACAAATACATTCTGCAATATTGAATTTCATTCTGTTTTGGTATAGTTATGGCTGTATACGTGAGGGCAAATCATCACCTTGGACTATGTAAATTCAATATATTAATGTTCAAAGTCCAGTTCTCTAATAAGTAAATAAAAAAAACCAAACAAGGTGCTGCATTCCCTTAAAGTACTAATATGTCTATTTTAAGTATTTTGTCTCCTTTTTTTTTAAATTTTGCTTCGATATTTGTAGATATCTGAGAAGCATAAATGCAAAGTGGAACCAATTGAGAAACCTGTGGTCACAGCTGGTAGTGAGTTCCTCTAACGGTACATTCATGAAAACTAATGGATGCAGATGTTGTACATGTAAAGAATGTAAATAGTATGGAGGAACTTCAGAAAGAATTACAAAAGAACCATTAAAAATCTGGAAAACCTGCTGGAAATTCCATAACAGATGTAGGCTTTATCAAGATATTTTTTCCAAGAGTTAATCCAATCATACTGTATAAGTACCTGCATAAATTAAAAATTGTATGATTAAGAGTCTAACTGTAAGAGGACTAGTAAGATCTAATGACTGGAATTAGTAACCTGTTAAATTAAGCCTAAGAATAATATTCCATATTTTAACCAATGATGCTAAGGATTTATTGGAATTATGAATTTAGGATTGTGGTAGTTTCTGTGTTCCTTGAAGTTTTCATATCTACACTGATACGTTTTTAGACAGACATGCCCAAACTCCTTGAGGTGGCATGTCCTCAATGCAGAAATGACGGGGAGAAATTCTGTATTCCCCTTCCAGAAAGTCAGTCTACATGATCACAGCAGTAACTTCAGGCCATAAAAATCTATGAGCCTATATAAATTTGCTGAATTTGGGCATGGATATCACAATTTCTTTGGCTTTAGTATGGACTCTGTCTCTCAGTATTTGTTCTAGATGGAATCTGTCTTCTTTTCCCAAGTTAACAACTCTGAAGGCTGGGCTAGACAAACCTGTCAAATTGGTAACTGCAGGAGGTCTATTGATGACAGGTTGAAGTGACAGAAATGTAAGATTTAGTGCATAATTTAATATATCATGACATAGAGAGTGAGATGCTTTGTGGGACAGACATCTCTGTGGGAAAAACAGCTAGGTCTCTATACTGAATCTAATTGCATAATGTTTTTTCTTTCTTGTTGTTTAACAATAAATCCATTGTTTCTCTTCTACTTTTCATTCACGCACTCTCCTTCCCAATCTGGTGGGCTGATAAACTAATAAATCTCTTTATCTTCCCTCCATTCTTCATCTATTGCTTAACACAGATTACATAGCAGAGATATTGTGATGTAGGGGGGACAGAAAGTCACCTACTGAAAACTCACGACTTTATTATGATATATCAGAGACATTTTTGTGATTTGGTCTGTCAAATACCACTGTCAAATAAGACCAAACCGGTTGAATACTCATTATTGGTTTCCCAATCATACCTCCTTCCAGAGAGCCAAGGCAAACCAAATAGTTTCCTCAGCAGAATAAACTGTATGCTATTTTGAGAACAGTTTGCTCCAGAAACAATTCTTTATTACAGACGGCTAGGACTATGCCAGATTTGCTGTCAGTCCTCCAAAGATGATTCTGGTAGGTTCAGAGTTCTCATTGCCAACATAACTTCAGGTCACTCACCAGAACTTACAGAAGCTATCTTCAATACCACAAAATTAAACACTTTTCTACAACTCTGTGACATTTTCCTCACATTATTTCAAGCTCTCTGGGCTGAAAAAGCCATTAAAAAGTTCATCCCAAACTGGATGAACTCAATATTAAAACAACAGAATAATATAAAGTTTACTAATACAAAGCACAAGACTAACACAAGATTAATAATAAGATTACTTTGATGGACTCTGCTTGCAATGGAGACCCTCACTTACCACCCTGGGAAAAGTGCTCTTCCTTTTTCTTGCTTCCACAGCTCTGTGTTGTTTGAAATAAAAAATATTCAAGGACTGGGATCTGGAACTCAGTTATCACAACTATCAGTGCCCTATCCTTCCTCTCATTTTTCCTCCACTCCATTTTGTATTAATAGGACATATAATAAGAATAGCTTGTGCAGAAGGATCTGAGGTGATCTATCCCAGAGGTTCATGGCTACCCTGAAAGGGTGGATATCACATTTTCAGTGTAGTAATTTCCTGACCAGGTCAATCTTTGGAACCTAGATAGCCCACTGTCCACGTAACGAACTTAATTAATAATATAGGAAAATATAGTGACTCATAGAGGCAGCTCTAATGCTTCCAAAGAAAACAATTGTACTTAAATCCCAGACATCTTTATGGGAGTCAAATAAATAAATAAATAATTATGCACCTTGCAGTACTGGTGAATCAAGTAAATACTCTTGATTAGACTTTGCAACATTCTGGGAGCGGCCAAAATCATGTTTTCAATAAATTTTCCATTATTTTTTTTTAAAATACTTTCTTGTGAATAGTTCCTTTTGATCACGCAAACTGTGAATAATCACTCTCAAAATATTGCCTTCTCAGGTCATTGCTACTGCAGAGCTGTTGCAGAGTTTGCTGAATGTACACAGATTTTGGTTATTAATGGGACAGGTATACATAGGTACAATTAGAACTTATGAAAGTAGAGTTCAGTGCTCAAGAAAAGTGTTGCTTCCCTAATATACACCTTCATTCCTTCAAAAAAACAATAAATTGCTTTATGAAGCATGTATAAAATACATGGCTTCAACCACAGCAATATTAATTTTATGCAATAACTTGATGATTGTTTTAAATCAAATCAAATCAAATCAAATCAAATTGATAAAGGCTGTTACTTCTGTGCTGCAATACCAATAAAAAGCTTTCATTCCCTCTTCACTATTAAAATGATATTCAATCTTTGTTAATAACAATACACAATGATGTATATGTAGTCTTAGACGTGGAAAAAATCACTTCATACTGTATGGGGTTTGCATGGCAAGGTTTTAGTAGCAGGGGGGGCTGCAGGGGTGGCTTCTGTGAGAAGCTGCCAGAAGCTTCCCCCATGTCCAACAGAGCCAATGGCAGCTGGCTCCAAGACAGACCTGCCACTGGCCAAGGTTGAGCCCATCAGTGACGGTGGTAGTGCCTCTGGGAGAACAGATTTAACAAGGAGCGGGGGGGAACTGCAGAATAGCAGCC